ATTATTTTCTGATTGATTTTACTTGTTAATTTTTGTAGTTGGACGTTGATGTCTGTGGCAACCGTCAAAGTCAAATCCGTTGATTTCTCTTCAGACCCTGGATGATGAAGCTTGTCTCCAAGACCACGAGAACTAACTGTCATCACAGACTAGAACCTGTGTACCACACACTCTCCGCAGAGTGCAGAAAAGGGTGTGGTGATCAACCGTCTTAGGAGATTGTCTAGCGTCGAGAGATTAACCCTCAAAATGCGTGTCAGCCGATACTTGAGTCTCGAACGTGAGCCTCGAGACCACTAAGGGCCACATGATTATGGGTACTACATAGTACGCCATCGTTGGGACTGCTTGCGTATTCATGCATTGCTAGTCGATATGAGAAGGTTCTGCGTCCACGCGGTTTTATCTTAAGTCTAGCGCGCGGCGCTTAACTAATTTCCGTATCAGAAGGTTATGGGTCGAATACTAAAGGGACTAGGAGTGTTGTGTTTGTGTGTATTTGATTTTTATGTTTTTAGCGTGGTGTAACGCGTGGTGAGTGGGTTGCGTCCTAATCGACTGACGACGAATCACGCTTAGGACTTCAGCCCCCCAATGTATCGGTTCGCGTGCGGGTCCAATAGAGGCGTAGGACCGCTCGTACCCCCTATGCTACATCATACGAGAAACGCCCTCGGCTGACCCACCTCTGCGATTGCAACTGATTAATTTTCGTACTGTGGACCGGTAGCTCGGTGGGGATACGCTCACCGAGGGAGGTGACAGCTCCCGCAGGTGGAGGTAAGTTGTATCTCGTGTAGGCCCTATCATGTTGTAGGGACTCATGAGAGGTATGGCTGGCGCACTCGGCCGGAGCGGTTGTGGAAACTCCATTTGTACCGCGAATGACCAAATCCTGCGTGACGCGGCCGGGAGGGTCCCCCTGCGGGACCGATGCGCTCGACAGCCGGAGGAAAAAAAAAAAAAAAAAAAAAAAACTATATTATTATTATTTTATGCAGAAAAATAAACTGAACAACATTTGTCTCAGGATCACCTCCAAAATCTTTACCAATTTTAAAATAAAAAAATGTTTCTTTATTTGTTTTTTACTCGGCCGAGTAAGTGGTCCCGAACCACTCTTGTAACCTCACCGGCAA